TGGTCCCTTTCAACCCAGGCCATTTTGTGATTCTATGAAGTCAGGATTTCTGTGGTTGCTGCTGAAATCCTCAATTTTTTGGGGGGGGTCAGTGAACCTTTAGCCCACCAAAAGTCACTTCAGAAGTCCTGGCTACCTATGACTACCTGGCATCCCACACCAGGATCTGCTTACTATCTGTTCAAGAAAAAAACAGGATGAAAACTGAAAAACTGCTTTCCAAGGTAAGCACTTTAGGATGTGCACTTGTGTCTCAATAGGCAGCAAAGATGATTGTCTCCATTCCTCTGGTCAAGCAAGCAAGTCATTGTGAACAGATAATAGTGGTCAGTACCTGCGTGCTGCAGGTGAATGGAGTCCTGCAGTCCTGGAGGACAGGCTCTGTCCTAAGAACACATTTAATTTGGTTCTCTCAGGACATCCTACTGTTAAAACTAATGAGCTGGAGTCTTCTCAGGACTGTTTCCCAGTTCGCTGCCACTGTAGGACCAGGTTGTAGAAGATGTAGTTTTACTGGCTCAAAGAAATTTGAAGTGCACAGATGCAAATGTTGCAAACAAAATCAAAACATTGCAATGTTCCTAATTATGGAAATAAATGAAAGCTCTGCAAGGAGAGATGTACTACTGCAGAATAAATGATAGAGTGCACTACAAATAGCAGTCAGAAGCAAACACAAAGAAGTCTATACTACAGGAAAACCTGTTTGAAATGATAATCTCAAATCATTTAGGCACTTAATTTATAAATGCTTGCTGTTTTCAGGCACTTCCAAAAATGCCTGCAGTTCTTTGGTATTTCACAAAATCCTTGGCTTCATATCGTATCTATAGCATATGTACTCCATATGTTTGTTGCTATACAGTCTCTCTGCCATGGAACAGAAATCCTTTCTGGGGGCTAAACGCAGTGTCAGTTATTATTTTTTGGCTTAACCCAGGATAAAAGAACTGTACAAAGTTCTAAAATCTTAATTGCTGTTAGATTTTACTACAACCATAGACAGACAAGGGAACACAGAGAGATTCCCTTCAGCATCCCCCAGGGCAGGAGCATCACCAGGCGTTTTCAAGGACGTTTCAACCCAAGCATTTTTCTTCTCTCTGTGCAGGAGAGGGGAACAATTGATGTGTTGCAGAAGAAACCTGTGACATTTTCAGGTTTTTAACCGGCAACCAGAATTGTCTCCAGAAACTCCTGATGCCGTTGACCCAGTAGCCCGAGCTGCCTACAGATTGGCATGGATTGCTTCTGCATTATTGCTTTACATTTCATTGCCTCTCTCCCTCTGATAAACGTGTAGAAAAGTTTATTTGCAGAAAGGCTAGGAAGGAAAAATGGGTATATAAAAAAAATACAGTTTGTCCAACAGTGCGTGGTTGTCTTTTATCTGATTACTTGACATTCTGGTCATTGACTGGCTGAGCTTCATCACAAAATGTTTCATAGTGAAAATAGAGAATTTCTATCCAACTTCCTAGATCATTTTTTCGCTCTCTGACTTGGGATATGATACTCTTGAGGAAAAAGTCATTATCTCTCTGGTGCTGGAAAAGCATTTTCATGGTGCTTTTGGGTGACTTTTTGTTTTCTGGAGGAATGGAGATCTTGCAGCATATTTCAGCTTTTGCCTTTGGGAGAATCAAAGGTAAGAACACAAATTGCTGCACACAGCTGTGGCTGGAGCAGTGCCTGTACAGTGTGAGCAGAAGGGGGTAGGTTCCCCGCGCTGGTGCTTTGGCAGTTGTGCTACATGGATTTTGGGAGTGCCTAAATGGACAGGAAAAAAAGCCCACGGGTTTCTGGTTAGGCAGCATCGTTGGCATCCTTGCATCATGATATTATCCTGAAGCTGTGTTTGCTTTAGAAATGTGCCTCTGGCGCAGGCTGGCTGGCTGCAGCTCTCCCAGTCATGCCAGCAGCTGATGCCCAGTCTGGAAGAGGATTCCTGCAGCAGGGCAGACACCTGTACTTCCAGGCTCTGTTTCACTAAGCTCGGCAGCCTCACTGCAGCCCTTCCACAAGGCCGTGGGGCTGTGAGGTCGGTGCCTGAGTTGCCCTGGGATGCACTCATCCACTCCCTGCTCACCCCTCTCTCGGGGCCAACAGACTGGAGCTCAGCTTGCTGGGCCTGCTGCAAATCAGAACTAGAATCATAGAATGGCCTGGGTTGAAAAGGACCACAATGATCATCTACTTTCAACCCCCCTGCTATATGCTAGGTCACCAACCAGCAGACCAGGCTGCCCAGAGCCACATCCAGCCTGGGAAGCAGAAGAACAAGTTACGAATGGAATTTGAGTTTCTCATTTTATTTTAACTCTAGAAAGAGATTGGTTGCTACTGGGGCACACGGACTTGCATGTTTTTGTCACTGCATGCAAGCTAAAATAGCACAGCACTTTCTCCTCTGATGCCATTAATACTTAAAACATGTATGGTTTTGCTAGGAGTGAATCGCACACCATTCATTGAATCACAGAATGGTTGGGTTGAAAAGTTTGCTCCAAAAGTGCCCCAGTTCCAACCTGTGGGTAAGGACACCCCCAGCTCATGGTGCCCAGGGCCCACTGGACACCTCCAGCGATGGGCCTGTTGCAGTTCATTAAAGGTTCAGTGATGCCACAGATAGCAATCTCTGCACAGGCCTCATGGCAGCCAAGCTACAAACTTACAGGTCTCTCAGATCAGTGCTGCATTCTCAGACTCCCAATGATTTTGTGATGCGCGCAGATTTACACATATATACGCTGGCAATAAGAATCAGTGTTAGGAATGGAAGATTCAATTATATTTTACTGTTATATTTAACAAGAAAGACATAACATAAATTAGTGAAAATGCATATAAACACCATTTAATAAATACAAGAAGAAAGATACTTACATCCTCCGGCGTGTGGAGTTTATTGCCTTGTGCAATGTAATTAAGTTTATGTGAATATGAGCATAATAAGCTGTAGAAAGTCACAGAGCAGTGAACGATAACAGTGCATGTAGCTCTGATGATATACAGTGCCACAGCTGAAATGCTGAACATAACATAACCTTGCAGTTTGTGTAACAGAGTTGCTTTGCTGTGTATTTGCTGTTTATTTTAAGTGAAGGATTGGAATGCTTGCCAGAGACTTAGGAAAAAAAACAATAAAAAAACAACACCAGGATGCACCCAGTGTAACGATGCTGCAATCTGCTGCTTAAACACCTCCTCTTCTATTTTCTATGTGCGTTAACTGCGAGATCCCAGTCATTCCTTTAATGTCTCTATTTGCAGCCGTTTGACCCTTGTGCAACAGCAAAAGTGTGTGAGAGCAACGTTGAAAGCTGCTGTGCAGCTCCAGGCTGTGCTCCTCTCCTTTTCTGCAGCTTTTTAAGCTGCCTACAGGGTACAGAGCGTTCCAAGGTAAGAGGAGAACAGATGCTTTGCTGACCTGAGCTTGTTGAGCAGCCTTGGAGATTGAAGGTAGACCCTAGCAGGGCCTGGTAACTCGGGTTTTAAATCCTGTAGGGATTTCGGCCTCCTTCTTGGCTGCAAGAATTGGCTCTTTCAGCAAAGAGGACTGTGTGCAACTGATGCCCTGGGAGCCTCGAGCACAGAATGGAATTTTAGCATCTATTGCAGAGCTTGACATTTCTCTGTATTTCCCGTGTTGCTTCCCAGCCTGTGACCTAAATTATGAGCAGAAGATATTAAGCCTGGATTTTAACTTAAGAGCTGACTACACCCACAGGGCAAATTAAAACACAGTGTTGTTTTTCCACTGAAGGTAAGCAAGCAGTGGAATTATACTGGATTCTTTATTTAAACTGCTGCCAGAAGTATGAAGTTGTGAGCCATAGCCTTTCCTAAGTCTTTGCTCTTTCTCCTCCAGGCCCCCACAATGGTTAGACACAGCATAGTCACAGAATCATACAGGCTGGAAAAAATGACTCAGATCCCCAACCTCAGCCCACCCTCACCATGCCCACTGCCCACAGTGCCACATCTCTATGGCTCTGGAACACCTCCAGGGATGATGACTCCCCCCCACTGCCTGGGCAGCTCTGCCACTGCATCACCATAGCCCTGGTTTGGCTTGTTGGCTTGTGACGTGAGAAAATGCCATCTCACCTAAATTCCTTACTTCTCTCTGCCTGCTATCAAAACTGTTGTTCCCCAAACTAGCATTTGCCATCTCTTTTAAAAGTAGCTGGAATTCCTTCACCATAAATTCTGTTGGACTTTGTGTGTGCTGGCATGGATATTGGAGTGCCCAACCACTTATCTGTGCTGGGTTTGCAGCTGCCTGGCTGCCACCACTTCTGTAAGTATTAAATACCTTTTTTTAAAAAAAATCCTTTAAAAAAAAATCCAAATTTGCAAATGAGATTCTAAATAGATATTCTCAGTCTTTAAATAACCCCGTCTCCTTCCATTATGGGTTTCCCTGGGCCAGGTCTTTCAGCTACTCATGCTGTACTAGTGCATTTAAACCTTCTGTCCTTCGGTGGAAAGTGAGATGCTTAAACCACAATTCCCCCTTGGCTCTTTTGGGGAAGATTTGGTTCATGTTGCACAATGAGGTGCTTCATATTGGGTGCATTTGATGCTGTGAAATTTCAGCTAATACCACAAAAGAGTTAACTCATTTTTGCAGGTTCCAATCTAAGTTCATCCCATGTCAGGATTTTCTCCCCATAGACAAGGTCATAATCTCATATCTGAAGGCAAATATATAAAATGCATTTTAGTGATCCCATGGAGTCGTTTCCCAGGCAACTTACCATCTCCATCTGCAGCGGGCTGTGGGCTTTGCCCGGCCTTGTGCTGGGGAGTCTGCCACCAGCCAATGCCCCTGGCCAGGCCCTGTGCAGGGCAAAAACACAGAATGGTTTGGGTTGGTTTGGGAAGTTTCCCCTTGAAGCTAAATTTACTGTGGGCCTGATATCCTCCAGTTTGGATGCTTGGGTTGGAAAGATGCACAGTGTAGTTGCAGGGCTGTTGCATCACACCAAATGGGTGATAGCTTCTGGGAACACCATGCAATGTGCACCCCAACTCAATGAGGATGGGTGATCCAGGAGCTGCCCCTGTCCAAGGAGAAATGCTGGCAGTGCAAGAGATGAGGATTCCTCCTTTCCAAAGTCAGAAACGTGAGAATCAGAAAATCGCCTTTTATACAGGGCAATAACCATAGTAAATACATTTTCCTTTTGTGCTGCCTTCATTCTTGCAGAATGGGACTGACCTCAAAAGGATTTTGGAGAGCATGAAGCGTGCATGAACAGCGTGCGCTCTTCTTCGAAACCCATCTCAATCCCTGTCAGTGGGTCTATGGGAGAGGTTGTAGGTCAGAAAATAGCCCTGGGAAATTCAAAGCTATCAGGCTCTGTGTTTCCCATCTCTGACTTTTGGAACAGAAATAGCCAGATTGTGCCTTGTGAGATCTGCAGGGATTGTAAAGCAGTTTGGTGTGGCTTAAGATCACGGTGTGTAATTTTGTTAAAAACTCACACTTTGAGATGTGCACCAAGTAGGCACAGTTGTGCTGAACTGTGAATCATTCCAGATAAGGGAAATCTTTGGGTTGCACTCCTGGTTACGTCTTTGATGTGCAGTTATCAGTATCCAAGCTAGGCCGGTATGCCAGCAGTATAGATGTGCCCTAAGGCCAAGAGCTTCAACTTTCAAAGAACATGTGTTGAGAGCCTCTGCCCTTATATCAGAACCTTGCAAAGAGCTGAATCACGGCATTTTTAGCTCCTGTCCTGTTGGCTTAGATGATACTGATCTTACAAAATTTGGCAATGCAGAGAACTGTAGGGTTATTTGAGTTTCAAAGGATCTTTTACATGTATTGAAGTCCTGCTGTTCCGGGAGCTGTGTGAGCTTCTCTTGCTTTGTCACCTGTTTTTAATTTGTTGTACAAGTGTGGAGAACCTCAGTTCTCTTGAATTGATGGAGAAGGGCAGGTCTGGGCTGGGCTCTGTAGCCCAGTGCTGGATCCCTATGCTGATAGAAGTATCACCTCATCCCCTGACATTGCCCTTCTTCCATAAACCCTGCTGAGATGGCATCTCAGCTGTCCTGTCACATTCATGTTATTGTCCAGTGTTCAGGACCAGGTGAGTAATGCCCATGGTGCTACCATGAAGTGTTAGCTCAGCTGTGCTCCTTCCTGTCGTGTAGTTGAGTCCTTAAGCTGTCCTTTGCAGCTCTTAAAAAGCCCTCTGCTCTTAAAAAGAAGCTTTAAGCCCCTTTGAAAGTTTCACCCCACGTATCTTCACTCTTCATGGTTAGGACTCACTCAGTCTTTACTGAAAGTGCAGTATTGAAGTCTGTCAGAGAATTTTTTTCCGTGTACTTGTGTGATGGGAATTGGGCTTAAAAGCATGAACTAGAACTACACAAATGAAAGAACTGGCTGTCAGCAGGCAGACTCTTTGGAAGGAAGAAAGTCATTGGGATTTTCTGTGGACTACCTGGTTGCTTCTGAGAGTCAACCCAGCATCACGCTGCATTGACAGTCCTATTAATGCAGTGTGTCTCCCACACTTTTGCTGTAGGGAGGATCTGGAGAACATCCCATGTCTTATCCTCAGAGAGTAATCCTGATCCTCATCATTTATGGCCTTTCCTATTTTCTGGAGAGCAAGGTTGTGTCTCCTCTCCAATTACTGGATTTTGTGTTTGCTCTTGATTAACAATTAGCAGTTGATTACTTCTAAAGTTAGCAGCCCTGGTGGGAGGAACACATGCAAGACAAATTTGAAGAACCTGATGTCTTCAAATTAAAAGGAGAGGGGATTATAGGCTGAATAAAGGAGGCTGATGCAACTTTTCAGAGAGTTGTATCATGGGCTGAGACAGCCATCTGCAACAAGTTTTGATCAAGAAAACTGAAAAATCTTCTGCTTTTTGGCTTGTGATATTTTCAGATGAAGTCATTGATAAGAAGGAGAGAACTCAAGGGAAAATCGTGCTTGTTGGTGGCTTATGTCCTGACAAAAACATGTCAGCGTGGGCACCAGCTGCATGACAGCAGCACCAACTCTGTCCTACCTGAAAGCCTTTATAGGCAATGATTGTCACCAAGTATTGCTGCACAGAGCAAGCAGTGAAGCTCCATCCCTTCATCCATGGAGTCAGAGGCACTTGGCATTTGGGGAGCTTCTGTCCCAAGCTTCTGTCTCTCACTGCCCTTCCAAGGCAGCATGGTAGTTGGGTTTTATTTTCCTGCCCAGAAATCTGAAAGCACCGGTATGCTCTCAATGAAAGCTGGGCTTTGTATTCTGTTTAGTAGGTCATGATGGAGAAGACCGTGTCAAAAGGCTTTTGCAGAAAAGGACAGATCCTCAAAAGAGGCTGTAACATACGTGTTTATTTAAGTGGCACAGACAAGTAGAAGGAGAACAGTGGTGAGTTAGAGGAGCATAAGGAACAGATGGGAAACGCTCTGAATTTTGAAGAAAAGGTGTTCCTCACGTCCTGCTGCTGTTCCAGATGTTGCCACTCACTCCCTAATGGTGTTTCAGGTCTTGTGTTGCAGCTCTGCCTTGCTGCCCTTCTCACAAATGCCAAGAGCTGATCTGTGGAGTGGCTGAGATTTCCCCATCGCCAATATTGCCTGTGCAGAAGGAAAAGAGCCACTCCTGCATTTTGGTCTTGAGATTTTCTCATAATTGTGTGCCAAAATGGAGGTAAATTCCATACTTTCCCAACGAAAGGAGGACCAGGACTGTTTGTAGAGGAAATGAGAGCTGACAGATGTTTCACATCCAGCTGACCTGCTGCCATGCTGAAGGTCACTCCAGAGTAAAATCTGCCCAGGTGTGGGCCGTTCAGCCCTTCCTGTCCTGGTGAGCATTTTGGCATCCTCTGGGTCTCTCACTGGAAGACAACAAATACAGACCTGCAGCTTTGTGCTCTGCTTTTTGTTTCCTAGCCACAATTGTTTCACTGGGTTAGCTCTGACCAGCTTTTGCTGTACATCACCCATTTCCATTCCTAAGTGACATACTGCTTATTTGAAAACATCTCAAGGACTTAGAGAACAGAAAAAATGATTTTACAGAGCAATTCTTTATGGACCGAAGTATGTACATTTGCTTGAGCCAAAACACACTTTTGATGTCTTAGATTAATACAAAAATTTTTTGTATTAATTATATATTATATAATATATATATATTACATATATATTATATTTGTATTAATATAATTATATTTTATATATATATATAATATAATTTGTATTAATTATTAATATATTGTCAAGTTTTTCTTGTCTTTCTCAGCCTTACCAGCTGGAGAACTCTGGGACAGAATGCAATAAAATATATAAAAATTATGGCCCTTAAAGCTGCCTAACTATTTCTCTTTATTCAGTACTATTTATACTATTTATAGTCACTTTTCTTGTTTCCTTTAAAGTTTGATCTCTTTAAAGTTTGATCCCTTCTTCTTAAATCACATCAGAATTTCCTATGTCCTTTTCTCACTGCTGCCACAAAACATTGCGTTTTTCTGGTCTTTCTGGGCCCATTTTTCATTCTTGCTTCCACTTGAACAACTATTCATGCTTTCTTAGATCATCGAGATCTTTGTTGCATCCAAGCAGAAATGGGGCTTCAGCTTTGACAGGTGTCTTTTTAGCTCAGCACTGACATCTTTTCTTAGGCTGCAACTTCCTGCAATATCTATTTGAGAAGTTTCCCAACGCATAAATTACGTTGGCACGCACAAAGAAGAACAACAGAAATGTTAATTACTGCCACTTTCCAATTGCTGAGTCTCTCCTTCATGGGTTGAGCAAGTTTTGTCTGGTGTGCTTTTTTCTTTTCTTTTTCCCTCTTTTTTTTTTCTTTTTCTCCAGATAATTATCAAACGACTTCAACATTTGGCGATGGCGCGCTCGGAATAACGAGAGCTTGTTTTTCACGTTGTTGCTCTTCATGCAGATCCTTTTTCTGAAGGCACGCTAAGGGAGCTGACAAAAAACGCGATATGATTTATAAGCCCAAAATACTTTCTGCCATGCTTAAAGATGTTTTTGCCAAAAGCGCTGTTCTTGTCATATCCCATAAAAAGCATGAAGGTGGTGGTGTGGGGAGATGGGATGGGGACGTTTGCGGATCGCCCGCAAGGTGCCGTGTGCTGCCATCCATGGGTGGTGACGTTTGGCGCAGGTTTCGCATCGCTGCACAATTTGATGGCATCTCAGATCTGCCCTGTGCTGGGAAATGGGACCGTCAGTGCCGGGTAAGGAAACTCGTGCTGTCTCTGCCCACATCATCTCCGTGTACTTCAACCGGGAAAAGGAATATAAATATAGAGATGATGATTTAGACTTCAAAATGCTGACGATGGTGACGATGACGCAGCTGAGAGTTCCTGTCTGAGGTAGGATTGAAAATGTGACTTTAAAGCTAATTTCTACTTCTGGCACAGGAGATGAGGCAGCAGCTCCATCCCTTTAGCTGTGACAGTGACACGGCTGGCCATGATGGAACAGAAGTTCTCTGAAGTTGTGCAGCCACCTGGACCTGCGGTGCCCATCATTGCTTGCCCGTAAATCCTCCACCAGACTGAATGTGGCTCTGGGCAGCCCGGTCTGGTGGTTGGCAACCCTGCCCATGGCAGGGGGGGATTGATACTAGATGATCTTTGAGGTCCTTTTCAACCCAGGCCATTCTATGATTCTATGATCTCCTCATGTAGTTCACCACCCCATGCTCTCTGCACACCTCCTTGCTGGTGAGCATCTGGTCACACAAAGCCTGCAGATCAAAACACTTTTGAGGAGTGGGAGACTGTAAAGCCTTTTTGATTTTTCTCCTCATAGATCAAACATGCATGTCAGAAGGTGCACTGCTTACCTGCTGCTAACATGGGCTTGGTCACAGTGGAATTGCATGGACAATAACGTTTTAAAGAGGAGCCGTGAATCTTTTAAGCAGGGGTTGCAGTGCCGTGGCTCAACATGGAGCCTCTCCCTCTGCAGTTTGCTCCAGCAGAGATGGGGACTTGCCTCCCAGGCCTTACCCCACAAAGTGTCAGCATGGGACGTGCTGCTGCTGGGACACAACCAGATTTAAAGGGGTTAGAAACACAGCAGGCAGCTGCCCAGATTATCCTAGTGTGACCTGTGGCAACCTTCTATGCCTCCATAGACAAAATCTGCTCCAAGATACAGGCAATGGCTTCACTTGCATCCCCACAAGGGACACAGCACAAGGTGTGAGCCCAGCAATAACCAGTGAAGGAACAAAGCCCACTTTCTGTTTTTCCTCCATCTTTGTGCCTTGCTGAGTTTTTCTGTTATCACAGAGTCAGAAATATATTTGCAGTCTGTGAGTACCATTAATTTCCATTTTGCACTTTGCTATGATCTCAAAGCAAACCACCCTGGCTCTTGAACTTTTTGATGCTCTGGAAAGCCAGGGAAGCTTTGAGCCTGGAGCACAGTTTCCCAGCTGCATTCCTCAAACAAGACCATACCATGGTTTGTCTGTGGCCATCCTAGAGGGGAATGAGAAGCTTTGGCACCTTGCCCTGGTTCAGACTACTAACCCAATCTAGTTTTACAATGTTCAGGGTTGTATTAATGGGCCAGGTACGCTTTCACTTTTATTGTTTTGATCCCTTAGCAGAGGCGTGAAGTGCCAGCTTAAACGCTTCAGATTTATTATTGTGATGGAGGAGAGAAATATCAGCTTCTTATAGGCCTATTAATCTCATTAATTATATAAGCTCAATGGCTTTACCTGGAAGCTTTGCACTGTGTTTCATGAGTTTTTTGGAGAGAAGCAGAAGGAGAACAACTAGATGCAATACACTATCCTGTTAATAGGTCAACAGATGATTGTTGTTGGCCTTGCAGGAAGTAGAAGCTATTGCTGCTAATTTACTCTCACGAAATGCAGATTTTAAGGATGCTGAAAATGTATCATGTTTCTTAATGATTCATACGACCTATGATATATATTGGTGAACCTTACCTGGGGACAAGGCTTCAGGCTGGGTGCTTTGCAGACGAAGTGGGAGATGGAAATGTCAATTGCCACTTGTTCTGTTAAACCTGATTCATCGAAACCTGAAGTGGGACTATCTTGAATGTTTCTAAATTTCCACATATGCTTTATGCATGCAAATCACAGCTGTGGTGCATTACGCTGCACCCAGAATACCTGGAAAAAAAATAAACTCAAAGTTAGGTGTAAGCGTGAGATGTTTTTAGTGGAAATCCCAAACTTTACTTCCCTTTTCCCTATGAGAGAGTCAGATCCTAAGGGCAGGAGTCGGTGTCTGGTGAACTTCCCTGGCTTTTAGGTAGAACTGGAAGCAGAAAACAGCGTAAGGAATTTTGCTAAAAGAGTTTCTTCTTGTGAGCATTTATCATATGGGCACAAATAAATAAATACATGCTTACAGATCCTCAGGTTAACCATAGATTTCTTCCTCCTTCTCAGCTCAGATGTGATTGATTTGTTTTGCGAAGGAGATTTGCTGCCCTGTGAGCATCTTTCCCACCCTGCATGTGGAACACCCTTAATGAGCATATTTGATTGCTGTTTGTTTTGTTTTTTTTTTCTCCTTCCTTCAGCAGCTCACACAAGAACAGTCTTCCTCCACTGTCTGAAATCTCAGTAACCTGTAGCTGTGCCCCAGGAACCTCAACGCAGCCTCCTTGGGAGCCCCTGGGAGCTGCTGGATTGCCCCACTTGGTTGTCCTTTTGTTACCTCCTCCTGCTGAAGGAGCCTACGGACCTCATGTCCCAAGGTTGTCAGGTAGAAATGTGACCAAACCCACTGTTTTATAGATATGTGATAAGGGTGGGCATACAGTGTACAAACTCAATAATGCACCAAAGGTTACCCGGCGATACCTGAGGTACAGCTCCACACCGAACCTAGAAGTCCTAAACTTTAATCACAAGCTATTCTTGTTCCTCCTTTTCATGACAGTGTTGTGAGAAGGCTAATTTTGTATTAAAATTGAGTTAGATCGATGCAGATACAATGGAAGTGGATGCTACATTTTGCTCTAACGGCATCCAACGCGGAGAGCTTTTCTTTGCAGCAGGAACGTGGGCTAATCCGCTTATCGGTTGGAGTTGGAGGTCCTGTGCGAGTTGCACTGAATGTTCAGTTCAAATGAAAGGATTTTCCTGGCGGATAAGAGAGCACATACTGAATGTGCAAATAGACAAATGTTCTCCAGATGGTTTTTACAAATGGTTTGCTTACTATGGTGTTTAAGTCAAGCTAACTTCATCTTGTGTCTCTGTAGTTCTGTTGGTTGGGAAGTGTCTTTAGGAGTACATTGAAGTACTTTTGAGCAATGGTAAACACTTTGTTAAAAAGTAAGAATTAGGGGATTATATCAAGCACTGGTATGATCAGTACTGCTACGTACAGTGATCATGAAAATAAAGTGCAACACAACCTTCGATCCAATTATGATTTTTCCTACAAGAAGTGTCAGAGGCTCTTAAATGTTTCTTCCAGCTTTATCTGTAGCCTTTATTACTTTGTACTTCCTAGAATTAAATGCAACTACATCAGGAAACTGAATGTTCGAGGTAAAGTTGCCTTAAGTTACATAAGCTTCAGCCTCCCCAGAGGCTCTTGCAGAGTTCCCATCTGGAGCCCTTGTACATTGCTTTTTCAGTGTGTACACCAAAAGGAATGCAGCACTGGAGGCCGCTGAGTCACTGGCTTGTACCTCTCTACCACTGCATGAATGTCAAAAAAAGATTTCTGGTGTTTTCATTCGAAGGGAAAAGAAAATAATTTCATTTTTTTCAGCGTTGCCTCAGTGGCGTGGTTTAACATTCAGGGAACTTGCAGAGCCCATACTGCTTTAACAGCACTCTGTAGAGCTGAACCAACAAATGCTGCACTACTCTTAATTTTGTAGCAGTAAAAAACAATGCTGTTACACAATAAATAATGTTTTAATGTAAATCAGTGGAATTATTAGTCCTACAGAAGACTTTATTGGATAAACTTGACATAAACTTGACATCTGTCTGAATACAAGAGAAGAAAATAGTGTCCTAAGAACTTCAGTAGTAAGAAGAACATTTAAGATCTGCTAAAATGAAAAATTAAAAGCTAAGCATGTAGAAAAAGGAAAAGAGAGCTACGTATTTTGTAATGCACTGTGCTAGGCATTGTATCTTCTTTGATTGTAACAAGTTTCTTTGAAGAATATTTCTACTTAAAATACACTTCTACTTATTTTCCCTGGCAGACAGGCTTTAAAGATCTAAATACGATGTACTGGAGGAGGTAAAAATTCTTGAAGTGTATTTTTGAAATCTTTAGACCTTTGACCACATTTGCTATGATGATACAGACTTAACAGTAAACCCACCTGAAAGACATTTCCATGGAACACTTTAAACGGAATCAGTTGGTACTTTCATAATGGCAGCTGAATGTGCGTTCTTGCCATTTTCCCATTTAACAAGAAGAAAAGGCCAAACAAGAACCAATTAGTCACAATAAAATCAGCTTTGATGACATTTTCACTCCTGAACTCTGGTATAAAATGGTCATCTAAGAAAGATCTGAAAGGATATGTGAGGAACTTGGTGGTATAACTGCATGTACATACATACACACTCCTGAGCAAAAAATGATCAGGTAACGATGCAGCAATTTAATTGCTATTTGGAGAAGATATACTGTTTTTGTGTTTAAACAGATGCGTAGAGCCTTGCTGGATTTTTGTTCCACGTTTTAACTGGTTGTAATTTGTCTTTGAAGTCTATGCAGGTTAAACCTTCTTTACATCCTTTGGATCTCAGCGATGTTTGTGTGCTCAGCTTACCCAGTTGGCCCTTCCATGGTAAGTCATGCTCCCTGGTTACTGGAAGATCAGATGTTCCATTTATTTTATGTATCTGGTGGTGGTGGTGGTTGGTTTGATTTTTTAATTAAATGAAAGGAACTTCTATTGAGGCTACTGAGTAAACATTATCTAATAATATCTGGATAATATTGTCTGGAATGGAGCTTGTTTTTGCTTTAGCTACACATAAAATCTGCAATCCTGTAAGATTGCCATGTAAGAAATCTGCTGCATGTTGGATGTTGAGTGTGAAGAACTTTTGCCAGTGTTGAACTATCATACGGATAAGAGGGAATCATCAGTCTCCCCCCATTTCATTTCAGTGCCTCGTTGACGTCCAGTAGGTAGAATAACAGATGTGTGTTTATTTCATTTGTTGAAATTATAAATTATAAATCAGTAAGTTTGTTAGTCACTGCTATTAATATGTGCAGGTAAAGGAGAAATACCAAGTTGGGAAGGTTATTCTGTAGAATCGGTGACACCCCCTTGGTATCATGGACTGTTTAACTTTCTTAAACAGTGAAATCAAAGTGAGTTTGCTATTTAAAGAACACTGCTAATAATCCTGCTGTTCTCAACCAAGGCAGTATGAGAGGTTGTTGGTCAAACAGGATATACACCATTTCAGTCAGGTTTTCCAATATGGAATGAGTAGTTTTATTTCAAGTGACATCCAGTATTCCTGCCTTGGACAAAGACTTGTTTTTCCAGTGCTGTGAAATAGCTTTTGAAGTCACAGCCCCGATTTCTGGGTTCCCTGCACCGTGCTGTGCATCACTGCCTTTTCATTAAGGAGATCTGTCTCTGGTAGAACACTGGCTACTCTTACAGTGGATTATTTTATTGTTAGACTTTATCTATCTCCTGCTTCCTCTGTATGTTTTACTTGTGTAAATGCTGCATCACCTCTCATTTCTGATCATGCAACCATCTCCCAAACAAGAACGCAGCACTGAGAGGCTTAAAGGGATGGCACAGAGAACACAGATTTTTGGCAGCTCAACAACGAGTGTGTAAATCATGGCATAATGAAAGATGCTCACAGCCTCTAGAGACATGCCAAGAAATATTTCCGTTTAATTTCAATGTTAATTTAAATCTGGTTTGAGTTTGTTTAAGTTCTTGTGCTGTTTGCATTTTATGATGTGAAGTGCAGTAAAAGGAACTTGTACTTAAACCTATGTGGATCTTAATCCAGGCTTTTTACACTTCCTATTACCACGTTGTCATTATTAAATGTAACTACCACCATAACTGGTCGTAACTGCTAGAAAGCTTCCTCTCTCAGACTTCTGCTTTACAGCTATTTTCATTTTCCCTTCTCTGTCGTTGAAGCTGAGTGACTTCACACGAGAGGTAACAAGATGCTGTTACGTTGCTAACTGAAAAAAAATCTCATTTTAGGCCAAAAAGTATGCATGATACTCTAGGGAAACCACGCTGCATGTCACAACAGGTCAGCATCACAGCAAACAATTCATTTCGTAAGCATCATTTGAGCAGTATCAGTATTTTAAACCTGAGATGCATCAGTTACGTGCTCTGTAAAGCTATGAAAAAAAAATCTGATTTTGAGTACAACAAATCCTTAGCAAATAGCAGTTCATACTTGTCATTCTAAGCATAAATTGTTTTTGTGTTTCTGCTTTGCTTTTCATACCGAACAAACCCTGTCAACCGCACAAATCCATAATTTTACCTTCCCTTATCTCTCTCTTTTTTTCTCTCTTCAGAGCAGCAATCCTTTTTATTTGAATTGCCAGCTGTATGGAAAATCTGATTACTGCCTGGTGCTGCTGAATAGCTGCTTAGCCAAGGTGGGCAGGAGCGAAGAGCTGGCTCTCCTACAGCCTCCCTTCCTGGAGATGCCTTTCAACAAACGGTCCTTCCGCAATGGTGTGGGATCAGGAATTAAAAAAACTTCCTTTCGAAGAGCAAAGTCCTAAACAAATGTTCCAAACCGTACCCTCGGTTTTAGCATCCCATGCCCAACTTTGTGCTTAAAATCACCTTAATGCTTTTTTCTGCTAAAACCGTCAGACACAAATGTACCCGTGTCTTCATCTTGTAAGCAGATGTTTATTTCAAAGAGCACAAGCCAAGTGGAGCAGATGGAAGCGCTCAGAACGGGCTTTGTTTTTGGAGTTACAGTATCATAAAGTTTTGTATGGAAATGAATGTTTTCATTTGGTTAATTCCCCTTCTTTGTAAAGCTACAGACTCAATCAGCTGGCTCCTGATTAGCACAAAGGCAGCCGTCCTGTCCCAACCCCTCTCATTGCTGCCAGCTGCTGTGGCAGCGTTCGCACAGATCCCCAGGGTGTTTAATTTCTCATTTCTGAAAGGTGTGAAGGGCCACGGATGAAACAGAGCCTGGTCCTGCTTGCAGCTTCTGCTTTCTTCGTAATGTTGTTATTTAACATAACTTTTCTGGGAAATAATGTCTTTGGGTGTGTGATCTCATTTCCAGAGGAGTCCTTGGAAGTCATGCTGAGGCAGGGTACCAGCAGCTCCCATTGCCTCAACCAATTGACTTGCGTAGGGAACACACGCCTGATGAATTGTGTTTCTGCTAATGGCTGCAGGTGTGGCACAGTAACTAGCAATGCTCTTAATTCTCTCTAAAGAATTTCATAAAAGATTTGTTTGGTCTGAAAACATGTAAGCATTTTGTGTAGGAATGGTCATCTGCTGTGTGAGGTTTCCCTCGTGGCTGTCTCCTCCAAATGCAATGTTCCAGCCTGTAACTTTGCTTTGAAAACATTGAAAGTTATCTGTGCAGTGCATTTTGAACTGAAATTTAAAATAATAATAAATAAGTACGTGGACCCTTTCTAGTATTTCCTTATTAAATATCAGGTTGCTGTTCCATCAGAATAAGGCTGGGTGGCACATCAGCCACTGCCAGCAGCTCCACTCCTCCATTTTGCACCACGAGCCTGTGGAGCAAAGAGACCTGAGCATGGAGCAGTGCAAGTGTTGCTTAAGTGTATCAACAGAGAATCACAGAATGCCTGGGTTGGAAGGGACCTTTGAGTTCACTGAGCCCCACACCCTGCTGTGTTCTGGGTGCCCCCCCAGCTCAGGCTGCCCAGGGCCCATCCACCCATGGCCACGGACACATCCAGGGATGGGCACCCACAGCTCTGGGCAGCAGTGCCAGGGCCTCGTTGCCCTTTGAGTAAAGGAATTCTTCCTCACATCTGACCTACATTTCCCCTCTTCTAATTTGAAACTGCTCCTCTCTGCCCATATCTGTACTGAAGTAGTGAAGCATCACACATTTACAACCTGCTTAAGCACTTTGACACCTTTTGCCCTTTCCCATGCTGGCTGCTGTGATTTCAGAGGCTGCAAATGCCCTGCTGGTGTGAACTCCTGACTCCAAGCTCTCACAAGTTCTCCTGGGAAGCAGTATGGCAATGCCTTTGGCAGCGTGAACATGAAAGCAAGGTGGGTATCCAGTCTATGACAAGTAGGTGCCAAGAGGAGAGGTGCTTCCCTGCCCAGCACTACTTCAGGGCCTTTTAATTAAGGAAAAGAAGTTACTGGAGTGGAATTATTCCCTTGTGCAGATGTTAGGAGTGTGCTCCACATCTGTGCGTGCCTGCATTCAGCAGCTCGGTCCTGCTGCAGTGCAGACACCAGGGGCTCTGGCCCTGCAGCTCCCAACACCACCTGCCTTCTATTTCTAGGGGAAAGAAAATAATAATAAAAAATCCCAGATTTAGCTTTCTGTTGGGCTTTCACATCCGTTATAATAAACTTTGTTTCTACATAACGAAGTATGTTCCTGCCTTGGTAATGTGTGATAAACTTGGTTGTCTGTGATCCTCCACAGCCACACATGCAGCTCTGAAAACCAACTTACTTTTCATTGTTTGTGCAGGTCTGCAACCAACCTCTGTTGCGTTTGGTGGTTGCCTTTGAGCAGAGGGTGCTCAAAAACGTGGATTCTCCTGCTGCCCTGTAGCAGCAGTTCTGCTCTCAGTGGTCTACTCTCACCTCACCCAGCACTGGTGCTGCCTTCAGCACGAAGTGCTAAACTCCCATCTGAACTTTAAAGGTGGTTTGATGTGGCAAGAAACAAGAGAGACCTCAGTGATCTCTGTCATTACTCTGAAAAGGCATTTTGCTGGCATTTTTTTTACTTTTTTCTTTGCTAAACTAAGAGAAAGCACAGAGCAGACCAGAGGGCAGGCAGAATGATGCTATGTTTAGGACTGAGTACCAGGCTGAGGAGCTGGAATGCTTCATTCCATCACAGGCATTGATAGCTGGGACCTCAGGTGAGCCTCTTCATTTCTCTTCCAGTTCTCCAGCTGAAACATAGCATTGCTAACTAGTCAGAGGGAGTTTTACCCTGCTTTGTTCTAATATTTGGAGGCTTGGGCTTAAGTGTCCACCAATGGGAGACTTGAACAATTAGTTCACCTGGTGTAATAACATCTAAATGCCTTGCAGTCCTAGTCCTAGTTGTGCCCACTGTGCTCTAATTGCAAAGCTACTATGCACAATGTTCATATTTTCAGTGTGCATCCTGGAAGTGGGGAGAAGAGGGGCATGGGCACCTCGAGGGCTGGCACAGGGCTGCTCTGTACCCAGCCTGGGTCTTGCTAATGAACTAAGCTGGTGTTTGGAGCAGCAGGGATGGCCATGGGTCAGACAGGCAGCCGTGCACATTGGCCACTGCTCCTCTGCCTCCTACAAGTGGTCCGTGCCTTTGAACAAGGTGGCCAATGTTCTCCACTGGGTGAAAATGAAAGGAGTTAGATCCAATAAAATCTGAAGGTGTAAAATCTGTCTGAAGACCGAAGGAGGAATTAACATTTATTCTTCTTCACAGATTATTGGCAAGAAAGGCATTTAGATTAACTGATGTAATAGCATCTAATTTCCTTGCGAGATTGAAAATTAGATGTTGTAATGACATACCAATACTTGGCTTTCTAATTACCAAGCGTATATTAAAGTACATATATCCCATTTAGATTTCCTAATTTGCTATTATTTGCCTGTAGATGATAACTTATTGCCTTAAAATACTGGAAAGAAGAACTGTCTTGATACTTTAGGCCTGGATATAGTTTTGACCTTAACAAAGAACGAGACGGATATGAGAGAGTATATTAGATGTTGTTATTACTGTAATAAAATGCAGATAAAAATCATAGTGCAGAAAGACTGTAAGACAACTATTAAGCATTTGTCATATAAAGAAAATAAAAACTTAACTTATCAGATATTCTGACACTTTAAAGATTTGTCATGAAAAAATACTTCCAACAGCAGAGCGTTTATGCGATATGTCATTGATGAGCTGTCTGCTTAAGTGTTTAAAGAGTTTGGAGAAAGATGAGAAAAACGTCAAAGATGGGCTTTTCATTAGTTTGACAGATGATCTCACTGTATTTAAATTTATATTTAGGAGTAAAACAGTACATTTTTAACAGGACGAGGTGGGCTCTTTGTCCTGACCTGGTGGTTGGTGATCCCAGTCAAACCAAAGCTTGTTGACTGACGAAATGGCAGAGCTATACATCAGGCTATTCACTTTGCTGTTTGGCTTCATAAGATGCTTAGAGTCAGGGGGAATTTTTCTGCCGTGTGGTGATTGAAAGACTTTTTTTTTTTTCTAATACCCTACTGGATTTGAAGTCATTGAGTTGATTAAGCTTCAAATTAAACATATCTTAAAAGCCTGATCGACTGAGACCCAGCTTCTGAACGTCTTCAGCATGAACCTTCCAGAGGACATAAAAGGGCTCGATGAGATAAGAAATGAGCTATCGAGTGCTGCTCTTGAGACATCATCCTCAACTCCTTGAAGTCAACAGAAAGCTACTGAGAGTCTTCAGTGGGCTTTGGATCAGACGTTCGGCGTGTTAACGGTAAGAGTATTTGCGTTCACCCGGTGAGTCTCTATGGCAACACCTCACAGGAGCTGCATGCTCTAATAGAGTTTTCTTCTCATTGATTTTGGTGGCTTGTGCTTCCTGTCTGCCTTTTAGCCCACCATATCTCAATCTGGGGACCACGGCATGGCCAGCATTTCAAAACCGCGGCCGAACGCTGGGCGCTGTGCCTGGCTCCTTGTCTTCATTAGCACCCAGCACACCTTCATTAGCAGCGTGGCACTCGTGTGGAGCCAAGGTATAGAAGAATTTGTGTGTGCAAATTTATTTATAAAGACAGAGATGTAAATATAAGAGTAAACGCTACTGCAGTGATTTCCATCCTCTCCTTTTCCTTTTGGCGAGTGGGTGCTGGTTGTGTGCGTGTGTTTTGGAGTTTCATTTGTTTTCAAGTAATATCACAAAGTAAATGAAAGGGAAAATGGAACTCAAATATGTTTATTTTGTAATTATGCAGACTAAAAATGAGGATTTCGGAGAAAAACGCCCCATGTTAGTAGTATTTATTCCCCCTTGATGATGACTTCATTGATAATCCTCTGCAGTGCCATTTCAGAAGATGTTTGCAGCGAATAAAAGCCTGGAGCAGTGAACCTTTCAGTGTGAACCTGCTGTGATGGGGCTCTTTGCCTGCAGCAGGGCTTCACGCTCGCCACAACAGCAGTGTTTGAGGCCTTTCCCAGCACTGTGTGCTTCTTTGTGAGCATCCATCAGTGCACTGGGCATTCCAAGCAGAGCCCAGCTGGCTGCGGTGGGAGAAACACTCAATTCACATTTAGACATTTACTCTCTGGCCATAAATTTAGCTGTCTTAATTTTGAATTGGGTCCCAGTGTTTCTGCTAATGATTTTCTTGAAGCCCTTCTTAAATGACTTCAAGAAAACAATAATGGTATTTATGGTAAGAGTCCCCAGTTTGCAGAAATGTGTTAAAGATATCAGATGCTCTCAGTTTGAAGTCACAAAGGCTTTTGCTACACTTCTGCATGTTTTGGATAAGAGAATCTGCTCTGTAAAAGGCTTCTCAGCCAGACGTGCCTCTTGGTTTCCCTGTGCTATGACAAGGGACGTATTTGACTCTGCTGGTCTTTTTGCTTTTTAGTTTTAGCCAGCTCTGCAAATTATGCCTTCCTGCTGGCAGTGTGTGTCTTGTTAGCTTCCTGTGTGATGGGAGCAGCACAGTCACAAGTGCATTTTTTTGCTCTTCAGTGACGCCTAGCAAAGTGCATCCCGTGAAATGCCACTTCATTTCACGTTTCTCAGTTCCGAATTCATTTTCACATACAAAATATGGCAAAATTCTTGTTGCACCAGACACCGGGGCACACTGGGAAGGATGCTAAGTCATTCACTTAATTAGGCAGCAATTGGTGCTGGCTGGAGTGCTCCGCAGTGCAAAGCAGCAGTGTGGAAGTCAAGGGGATGAGCTGCTCGGGTGCTCTGTGTTGGCTCAATCTCAAATGTAGGTATCCAAGCTAGGCCCCACTGCCCTGCTCTGCCCTCCAGATGAGCAGCAGAATGACAAGTGCTGTATTTCTATACCTTTAAATGAAATAGCACAGTTTGGAGAGCACAAACTTTCCCTGATTCGCTATTTGTATTCTCTCTTATCTTTGATTACCTTTGGCTATGTGATCTAACCGTGTCCATTTATTAATGAGGTTCCTTATGGCTACTTCAGGCAACGCAGGAAAATTGACTGGAGGAGCTCATGGAGCAATTTAAGGCCAAATCCTGATCGCAGAACATAATGAAGTATGCTAACTGAGGCATGGAGATCCTGTTGATTACTTTAAACAACCTTAAATGAAAGAAGACAAATGACCTGTGTGGGTGGAATTGATGCAATTGGCATACGAAAAGATACTTAGAA